TATATATGTTCAGTGACTTTAAGATACTGCATCACCAGTGTTTATGTTATCAGTTGATACTCCTAATCTATTAATGAATCAATACATAGGGCGTCAAGACTTTTGTAAAGTTAAATCCCACTAAAGCATCACATGCTGGGTATGTTTTCAAGCAATAATCAAATGCCTTCCCCCTCTTCACAGATGTCCATTCAAGATCTGAAATTAAGGACATACTATAGAAAATTCCATCAGAAGAACAGATCTCTATGAAATTTTCCCATTTCCTAGTCTTCTCAAAGTAGAAAAATACCAAGCTGCCAGAATATTGCTGTCCTTCAAGGAAAGATGGGAAGAAATATTTCTGGAAATATTTTAACTTACAAATATAACTAAGGATCAATCTTGACAGTACTGTTATTGCTTTGCAACACTCAAGAGATAAAACTGCCTAGACAGTTTTTAATGATGTAATCACATTTGGCTTTTCATGTTATATCTGACCCTGCAGTTACAATTACTAGATTTAATAATTTTTACACTTAAATTAACAATGGAATTTTATATATTATCTCCATTTAAAGCATTTTTGCTGGGATTATGTGTCAGTGTGATTGCGAAAGTGAAACAAGAGTAAGAACCTATGCATTCSTTAGTTTTACTGCAGGGTAAGTATTTATATATTTTCAAGCATAATTTTCAAAAACAAGCTGAATTCACCTCCTCTTGTGTAATATCATTCCACAAAAGCCACATTAAACAATTACAGTTCTTGTAATTAACCAGTAGTCTAATGTACAGTTTTCTTACCCCAATCTATTAACAGCTGCTCAAAAAATGTAGTAATTAATGGTTTCATTTATTTTTGGCAAACCTGCAACACGACAAATAGTTTTGTATCTGCTGCAAATTAGGACTCTTTCCCAAACAACAGATGACACGGTGGGAAAGAGGGAGCAGACAGAATCCTTGCACATCTTTGTCTCTTTAGAAGACCAAATAAAGAGCAGCTGTAACGTTGTTTGTCACATCTGTGTAAGAAATACAGTGATCTGCAACATCAGAGGAAAATGAATATACGCTGTACAAATAAGTGGTTTCCTCACAAACTCAGAAAAGCTAAATTTTGTACATTTAACTAAAGCAATAATATACTTTGAAAAGCTCTCATTAAATTCAGTGTCACTTTTCTCATTTTAGGTGCTTCCTTTAAATACTACTTTGTAAAGTACCATTACATCATTATTCATACAAAATAAAATTATATCATCATTCATAGAAAATAAAATCATAAATATATGTGGTAGAGACTTCCTCTTTCACCAACACAAGGTGCCTAAATTTAAGCCAGACTGACAACTATGGAAAGGTAGGAGGGAAAGGGCCAGTTACAGAAAAGAGACAGGTTATGAATAACAACCTCTTCTCTTTATGGRTACTTATCACCACTTGTGGTGCCGCGGGCATTTTGCCCCCTATGTAACATGTCTTGCTCTGCCTCCAGCTTCTTCTTTCCCTGGGGGGCTCCCTCCCATGCGCTGGGGGCTGAGCCCCACGGCAAGAAGGGACCAGCTSGGTCCAGAGCAGGAGCAGGGCAAGGGGGCAGGAGGGGCATCTCGTCCTCCCTGCACCCAGCTGTGGGGGCTGAGCTCTGGGCATTTTGGGGGCGCTATCAAGGCAGCGGACCCAGCTCAGCGCAGGGTCTGCTTTGCAGCTGCATGAAGTGGTTCTCTCTCACCCTACGCTGCTGCTAGGCTGACTAGATGGTTAACCCTAGGGCAACCAGCTAGTTCAAACCTCTCCTGTACAAAGCTACACCACTTGGAAATCACTTTTGAGAGCGTGGCTTAACCTCCTTGCAAACCAGGACTGAAATGCATAAAACCTGCAAGAAGCTTTTCTTCTGTTAAGGACTGGTGGGGGAACATTTGAGTACGGCAAGCTAATAGGCAATTATTAAGGTATGATAAATATCCAGTTTATCTGAAGATGCATGTACCATAAACTTTGCGTTGCAGTAAGAAGAAAAAATATTTAGGTGAACTAAAGCTGCTTAGCAGGACCACACTCTAAAAGAAATATGACAAAAGAGCGTTACGTATTGCACAAGCTTAACTTAATTGGGAATCTGTTGTTTCCCCAAACAGCAGTTGTGACAGCGCTAGCTGACAGCATAAACTAACTGCTCCTGCCGCTGACTGCATGTCCCAAAGCAAAATATTAAGTCACTGAAATATTCTGTTTTTCTTTCTGTCAAATGAGGATACAAGTACTTCCTAGCTTTAGAGGGGGTACTGTGAGGACTAATATATTAAGAGACAGGCAGAGAGTGTGAGACAGGGGCTCCCTAAGTACTTAATCAAATAATTTCATGATTGTGCTAGAGCAGCTCAGCAAATTACTCTTCAACTTTGCCTCCCTGGCTGACAAAACSAATGTTCTTAGCCCCAGGATTTTTTTTTTCTTATTTTTGCAGAATCGTGCAAGCGCGCAAGGCGATGTGTTTTGCCTCGTGCTTGCAGCGTGCAACCAGTGAGCACAGGCTCCCTTCAAGCGGCTCAGCTGCCAAGCAGCAACTTGTTAACTCCCCGTAACTCAATCATGTTCAATTGTTTGCCCACAGCCTCGGGCCACAGACAGACATTTGGCCTGCTAACAACTGCGCCAGATGAAGACATTACTATCCCGAGCTATTTGTTAGCACACATCTGCCGGAGATTATCATCACCACGGTTCTGCCCGAGGAGGAAGTCATGTGAGCGCTCCCTAATCTGGTTTACACCAAACTAGCCAGTTTAATTTAAATAGGTGAGTGAGTGGAGCTAACCAGGCTGGTTTTGCCTGAAGCAGATTAAWAAAAAAATAATGCAGACAAAACCCCACTTCACTGGCAAGAGTAGAGGATGAAAATAGGCAGCTACAGACCTATCTGCAAACACTGTGGCTAGATTTGAGGGGCTACTGTTCCTGAATGAATGCAGGGAAACAGACAACATATTCAAGGCATATTCAAGTGGGAAAAATAAACACAGCTTCTACATCAGCGATATTCAGTACTGCTCATGGAATTTAAAATCACCAGTAGGAAAGTATGTCTTTGTAGATTAAAATTGTCTGCAAAGTAAGAATAAATAGATTTATTATTTAAGTACTCAAATACAGAAGGCAATCCCTTGAATTGTATCAGTGTTATATAATCTACTCAGGTTCTAAGTTTTGTGGTACAGGCCAGTTCCTTCTTAGCATACTGTTYATCAGTAGCCAGTTCTCAATGGTTGAACTATCTTTCTATTAATAAAAACTCAAATTGGTTTGCATAAGATGAGTTTAGGTCTTCTTTCTTATAAAAGCTATGACATGTACAAAAATCTAAATGATGTGTTATTTCCATTTCAAGATTCCATACGCAATAATGACAATGCATATTTGCAAGGAATGTGAAGTTTAAAATTTTACTAACTCTGTGAACAGTATTTGCTATTGAAGCAATAACTTCTATAGGTCATTTTCAAATAGAAACACTTTGTTGATTGGTTAAACTAAGATTAATCTTTTTGGTAGAAATGATGATTTGAAATTAAGTCATATGAAAAGCAACTCATAGTAAATCTTAATATGGGAAATCMAAGTTTTTACTTTGCCAAGAGACTGGACAATTATTGGGCCACAAATTACTTTCTGATATTCAATGGTGGAAGGGAAAAAATCTGCAAAACTGTAGTAAGAGTGTTCAAATATGTTCAAAACACATCTTGTAAACAATTACTTGATTTTCTGTGACAGTGGCTATCCCCTTAAGTATAACACATCATAAYATTACATAAAGTTTGAGATGGTTCAGGTCAATTTAAAGGACTAATAGTAAAGATTTTACGATAGGTGGAAAAAAACAGTGATTTTCTGAGCAAAGTACAAGCTATGAAATAAACTCACTCCACCTGGAGGAAGAAGCCTTTGGAGGCACAGGGGATGGTGCCAGGACATGCACRCAGATGACTTGGCTGTTTTTATGGGAACTACAGTATTAGCTGCCTTTTACCTATGTTGTAATAGTGGTTTATGTAAGTTTTACTTTAGTAATTCTCGAAAGGATTTATGGCAAATGATGGTCGTCATTCTTGGATTAGCTACATATTGCTTTAACACAACCCTGCCAAGTGTTTGTTAGGACAACAGCCTACTAACCTACTCCTGACTTAGATATGAAGCGAGAGAGAAGATCACTTTGAATATTTAATCTTATTTAAAAAAATCTCTACAGTTACTGCTTGCATAGGTAACAAACACTGAAGAGCTTCACTGGACAGACTAATAAATGCCTAAGTTGTGATTCTGACCTCAGAAAATATTTTACACTGCATTAATATGACCCTAAAATGACTTTAAATATATAATCTGCTTCTTAATATTCCTTTTATACCAACTTTATACTCTCAGCTTCCTGTAAGCAGCCCGATAGTAAATGTGCATTTATAGGGAACATTCACATCTAAAGTGGGCTCTTGTCCACTACTCTGAGCAAAAATACGTGACAACTAYGCATGCTAGAAACCTTGTGCACGACTTCTCAATTAATGCATAGAAGGCCTAACAGACAAAGCACCTTTTCTGAAGATGAACTACCAGAACTCGCACAATTAGCTTTTTAGAGTGTTTTGTTTACAACAAAGATTTGTTTACAATAAAATAGATTAATAGGTAACACACACTTATGATAAAAGGTTCAAAGCAGATATTCAGCAAGTATTTAGTGACATTAAAAGCTTATTTCAGGATGACCATGTATATATTGAAAGATAAACATGCGAAAGAGCACTCAAAAGCACAGTGTTATGTAATGACACAATCTTCTTATGACTTATTCAAAAACTAACTTGATATCACACCATCATATTTACAAGCTAACATGAAAATGAGTAAGGCATTCTGCACAGGAAGAGAAACATTTCTGTAATTTCCTATGTTATAAAATGTTAACATTAAAAAAAGAGAAAGTGATGACAACTGCAGTATTAACTCACCTGCTAGCTGTTTTTACTGAGCTGTTCTTCTTGTGTCCTCTTTCTGACCGGTTGTCTCGCAAGAGTTGAAGCTAACCAAAAAAGTTAAGAGAAATCTATAAGCAGTTCCATTATTTACTTTTTTGAAATGTTATTCTGAAGTTTGCTTCAGGCTGCTGAAGGCTGCTATTTCTAGTTTTCAACCAGAACAGTTAGCAACAGTAAAAAAYGGCCATTTGATTTTGTTTTGTTAAAGTGCAGGAGTAATTAAGGTTGTGACATATATGTGACATATATAACCCCTAAAATAACTGAAAAGATAAAAACTTCAGCATTTTAAAACCATATTGGAAAGTCAAAGATYATGCAGTAGTAGCACCTGTGTTATTTGATTATATTAGTTCTGCTTCAGGATTTATGGCTAGTTTRTAAATTCTAAATGAAGTGAATATCACATTATCTTTGAAAATAGAGCATTTAGAAAATGCAAAATAAACATGCAACATTTAAATATTTTGAATTCACTATTAGCTGAGAAAAAATAAATTCATTTATCATTTTAGAGGTCAAATAGAAGTTTTCCAATCTCAAACCACACGGAATGGACACTATCACATATTCTGTTATTTGAGACCATATACAAAAAGACGACACTTAAAATACTCAAATTCATTCTAATTAATAAATTTGACTACTTATAGCAGCAACCTAGCAGTTACGGCAGTTTCCTATTTCAGGAACAGGAARAAGTTTAGCCCAAGGGAACTTTTGTCTTGTTTAACTCAAAGTATGATTAGTGTAGTATGCTAGTTGTACTGAAATATATATTTCAAAATTACGTGAGTTAAATGTGACTCATATAAAGCTGTTTGTTTAGATGTTAAATAACTGTTGGTCAGCTTTCTGTAACATGTTAGAAGATCGTAAAGCTAACAGCTGAAACTTTTATTATGACAGTTTTGAGAAAGTAAAATGACTTTAAAGGATCGAAGTTTCTCCAGAGCTCAGAAGGAGAAGGGGATGGGAAAGCAGGTATTCTTATCTCATCTCTGACCTATAGGAGCTAGAACTGTTTGTTGATGATGATTCATCCTAGGATGATTCTTCTAAAAGACTCTGTATAACTTCTTTTTTGATGCTTAAAATCTATTTAAWTATGTAAAAGTACTACTGAATTGATACAGGTCTAACTAAATCAATTGGATTATGTCAAGTTTTAATCAACTTAAAAATACACAAAGAAATTTTATTTTTAAATTTCAATGTGCTGCTATTATATTCAGTTTCTTTTACTGAATTCCTTAAATTAACTATATATTCTAAAAATAGCGATTGATTTTCACATTTAAAAATTCTTAAACTACATGTTCTCTTTGTACCTTGCTACCCCACACAGTGCAAGGTATTGAGTTGCTTTTCAAAGAGGAGCGTGCCTTCACACGCCAGCTCTGGGCTTTGCCCCTCAGTGACTTCACCCTATGGTCTCCTCAGCAGGCCGAACGGTAGGTTTGCTCCCCGGTGCCTGCACCATCTGCACCTCTCTGMTTGGCTAGAGGCAATGGAAATAGGATAGCTCCTTTTTTTATTGCTGAGGTCTTTTTAGTCTATGTAATGCAAAAAGAAGGGAAATGAAGATCTTTGTGAAGTCTTTGGAATCTTGTAATTCTTTTCTATTTCTGGAGTTTGGGGATCACACAGTTTGATTTCCAGAATTTACAGAACAAAATACTAGAACATACTAATGTTGACAACAAAATTAAATTAAAGTGTTTTGACTAATAAAGTTATTATTTAAAGATTTTTCATCAACCGAAAGACTTTTAGAAATGCACTGCTGTTAATAAGTTTCTACGCAAAAAAAAAAAAAAGGATGAAATTAAATCTGTTTTGTTATTTTATCATTTTAAAAAATGACAAAACTGCATCTGGAGAAGAGGTAGTTAAATTCCTTTATATATCGAAGTAAACTGCTGTTGATCAAAGCAGTTCTTACCTGGCTATGTTCCTTCCTAGCCCCAGGGCTAAACCAATGGCTGTGGGAGAAAAAGAAAAGGCAGGTTTAACAATCTCACTAACAAAGCACATGCTGTCATATGACCRGCATGTGCGTGCTTTGGGGTATTTTATTGTCTGCCAGGAAAACACAGCCTTTGGCTGTGCTTTGTTTTAATGGGATATATTACTGAACTCTCAACATCTGCAGCAGTTTTGAAAGAATGCACATAGCTCTACAAATTTCACTTGTGATTTGCCATTGGCTTTATAGGTAATTATGCTTTGTCAAACAACAGAAAATATTATGCAAATGCTAATAATTTATTATCACGCGCGTGTTATTTAACATACTATAGTGCAAGTGCCATTAATAAAAGTAATTCTATCTATATTCATCCACAGTTAAAAATATTTTTAAGTCTTGTTGGTTAGCTGTTAATGTAGTATTGCTTCACAAACTTAAGTCTGAATCTAAAGTCTGAGTTCAAAGTCAATAAGTTCAGTGACTTCATTTCTCAATACAACTGCGCARTTTGTGCCTTTGGTAGTCTTATTTAGCAAAGATAAAAGCTTGGAATAATAGGCTGACATGTAGGAACAAGAGCTGACAAAGACTCTTTCCTTAATTGATATAATAGGATATTAATACAGGTTTCCATACACTAAGATCATATAGAACTTAATTCACATGTGAACATASCTGTAAGCAAGCACTATGCAATCCCAGGCCCAGTTTTGACACTTGCAAAATGAAGAGGATCAGAAAACTAAAACTAAAACAAAAGAGTTCTGGAACTACATGGAATTCCTATCACATAACAACAGATTTTGGGGGACAGGTTAAATAGTTCCATCCATTCTAATAATGCACAGAAAGACCATTGCAATATTTGCACACATATGTTATGTGCTTCCTCTGCAAGTGACAATACTGCAAAAGATTGTAAGCTTAATCTGCTCATTTGATCCCCTCTTTTTTTCTGAAGTAATTAAATTCAATATAGTTTTAGACTATAAACATATGTTTTTCCACAGCATACTACATCAACCACAAAGTGYCACAATATTTTTAGTTTAACTGGTGTACTTAGAGAAGAGGCAATGTTATGGAACTGCCCCGTCTGGCCTAAGCTACTCTTTGCTATTTCTAACTCTCAAGTGTGCAAGTTCTTTGCTAGTGATCAGCCAAGTGTGGGGATGTTATCATGGCCTACAAGGAACACCAGACCTGACTGACAGAAACCTAAATGCTTCTAATTCCTTTTTCTACTTCTAAGTTGGCTGAGGAAAAGAAGAGGTTGGAAATCGGTTTAAAAAAAAAGCAATAAAGTTAAAAGTATACTTTGAGATAAAAGTTAGGTATGAATACACTATGGCCATAAAATATTCATGAAACTATATTGAACAGTACAAATTTCGTTGCAAATTAAACACTGTGGAAAACCGATGGAGGCTCCACATACATCCAACTTTGATGGTGGCTCTGCATAAAAAGAACCGTCAGGTTTGTGAGTGACATTCATTCATTATTATAATTTTGGCCATTCTCTAATTCCACGTTTTTGTTTGCTTGCTTATTTGTTCTCATAAAATAAACAAAAAAGTAAAACTTGCTATGAGAAAGTTTCAGTTGAATTACACTAGGGCAGAAATAACTATGAAATCACAATCTCTTTAGTTAGCATCTACATCAGCGAGTAACGTGATGTAATAGAAGCAGGTCAGTAGACTAAAACAACTGATACTGAGGAAATGATGCTTCCAGTATACATGTTTTGGGCAGTATGGATTTTAAGCTCTGGTTTCAGGCTGTAGAGTCTCTATATTCATTAGCAGTTGGAACATGTAAACATACTCCCAAATGTGTTTCCTAGTCATATGGGTCTTGTGTTTTCCTATTTGGAAAACGCTGAAAAATTTTACCTTCCTATTCAGAAGAGATAATAAAGCAGCAGCACAGTCAATGTTATCTGCTGAACAGAATCACAGTTTACACTGATGATACACTGGAATATCTAAATAAGCTGAAGGATATTTCCTAATAAAATGTGTCCAAATATTAATTCCACCCCTTTCCATGGAATTTATGTTAACCTTCATCCTCACATGATACATTATGCTTATGATGTAAAGATGCAATGGTTGTTTATTTCTAATCTGGCATTCCTGAAACACTCTCCTTTGAAAAAAATAAAACAAGCATTTTAAGCAACCTCTTATATTTATTTTAGCCTATTACATAGCATTAAGGAACATTCTTTACATAAGTATATACTTAAAATTAATTTAGAAGGTACTGAACTTCATGTTTGAGTAAGAAACACAAAATGAATTACAAAGGATTATAAATACTGTTATTAAAGATTAAAGAATCACTATGTGTGCTGTGGCTCTCATATTGCGTGTTTATATAGTTGTACAATGAGTTTTCATAGAATCACAAAATGTTTAAGTTGGAAGAGACCTCTAGAGATCATCTAGTCCAACCCCCCTGCTCCAGTAGGGACACCTAGAACACGTGGCACAGGGTTTTGAAGACCTCCAGAGAAGGAGACTCCACAACCTCCCTGGGCAGCCTGTTCCAGGGCTCTGTCACCCTCACCGGAAAGAAGCTCTTGCTCATATGGAGATGGAACTTCCTCTGTTTCAACTTATACCTATTACCTCTTCTCCTGTCACTGGCCACCACTGAGAAGAGTTTGACCCCATCCTCCCTACATTCTCCTCTCAGGTACTTAYACATATTGATCAGATCTCCTCTCAGTCTTCTCTTCTCCAGGCTAAATTCACTTTCCTCATGAGACAGATGCTCTGGTTCCTTAATCATCTTTGTTGCCCTCCAGAAGCTCCACATACCTCTTGTTCTGGGCAGCCCAGAACTGCACCCAAATCTCCAGATGTGGCCTCACCAGAGCTGAGTAGAGGGGCAGGATGTTCTCYCTCTACCTGCTGGCAACACTCCTCCTGATGCAGCCAGGATCCCATTGGCCTTCTCGGCCATGAGCGCACATTGCTGCCTCATGGTTAACTTGTCAATCCACAACTCTCAAATCCTTCTCTGCGGAACTGCCTTCCAGCAGGTCAACCCCTAATCTGTAGTGGTGCCTGGGTCCCAGGTGGAAGACCCTGCACTTGACCTTGTGAGTTTCAAGGACAATGGTACAATTGCAATGTAAATATTTACAGGAACAATTCTAATTCYCATCACAGATACTCACTCATGGTGAAGAGAATCTTGGGACATGTGGACTGTTTTCCTGCTACCACCTGGTCCTGGTGTAATCTGAAGGAAGTAAGAAAAAAATCTTTGAATTATGATGCAATATAAGCATACAATCTTTTTTTTCTCAGAAAATATTCACAACACTATACTGTAGACCTTGTCTAGGCCTTCATTTGCACAGAAACTAAAACGATGTCATATTCTCATTTTTTAAAGAATAATCTTAATGCACGTATCGATATTGCTCAATGTGCAGAAGATGATGATATCCAGGTATTATTCAAAAATGTATTCAAGTGCTTAATACATACTGCTTAATAGAGCTCATTTACTTGCAGGTGAAGATAGGTAAAAATATTAGAGACCAGTAAGTTCGATGCTTGAAGAAACAGAGTTGAAAGCAAGTTACTCTTCCTTGCTGTGAAGAATGCAGGAACAAATGTTTGGTTCCCTTGGAGATAGTTTCATAGTCAGTGGATGACCAAAGGTGGGACAGAAGATAGACATTCCTCCAGTTTAAAAGGAGACCGTAAGAGCTCTACAAAGAACTGTATATACAGCCTAGGCTTCCTGAAAGTGCATAAGCAGAGGGCTCACTGATAAAAGCAGTCTCTTCCGCCTGAAGAGATAAGACACTCCACCTTCAAAGAAAAAAAAATCTCTACTCTCACATGGAAAAAACTCTACTCTCAATGGAAAAAGCAGGGCATGCAGCTCCATGACTGGAAAACTTTCAAGGAATACTTACTGAATAATGGGCTAGTCCTACAGCGTTGAAGCATTTAGCCAAAATCTCTGTCACCTAAAGAATAGCAATATTAAGGACCAAACTGAGGCACCCTAAAGTGCTGTGGCTTTTCTGGATGATGCTGATTGAAGAGAATTGGTAATAACTTACTGCAGATGAGTCTATGTGAATATCTAATGCCCTGCTAGAGGAGATCATAGCAATTGTGCAGTGTTGCTGCCTCCAGGACTAACTCCAGCACAGACCACACATGGGAGAGAAGCATCTGCTGCTTGACCAGAATCAGAACCTGCACTTTTACGGAGGCCTTACACAGCCACGTGATTATAATAAAAGTGACCAAACTTTACAAAGCAACTTCTAGAACATTATATTTTATCTTGGAATTAGAGCAAGGAACATCAATTCACAAGAACAGACCTAGAAAGGCAAAATAAATATTTTAAATATATAATTTCTGAATTTTAAGAATGATAACTAAACTTTTGCTTTAACACCATAGGTAAACATGTAGCTCAACTCTTGAGAGTTACATCCTGCATTAATCTCAAAATGAGGTTTTCATGCTATTCCAGTGGGTATCCCTGGAATACAGTAATCCATTTTCTACACTGTGACTATAAGAAAAGCCGACTGTGCCTATGTCATGCTTTGTTAGAGGTTCATGATCACATTATCTCATGGTGGACCTGACACTTTTATTCAGTTTACAGTATGTTCTGTGTACAGGCAACTTATTTCCTTTGCCAGGGCTGCTGACAACCTTTTCCACACTATATTAATCTTGTTTACTGACTTTATCTTGGTACAAATATCAGAAAACTGAACTTTTTATCTCAGGGAGAAAATAAACAACATGTTGACAGAAGCAAAAGCTATTTTCTAGACTAAAATTGGTTGTTTACCTGCAGCCATATTTATGGAAACAAGTTTAAGTCTTTGGCTCACTCATGATACATAATCCAAAACTTAATAAGCATAGAAATTTCAAGAAAACTCACTAGATAAATTGCAAGTTCTAAAATAACATATCAAATGAAGAAATATGGCTTTCCACTAAATTACATGAGAATATGAATTTGCTCGGAATATGGTTCCAATTGATCAAAGTGCCCTGGTGCAGGTTTCTCTTACATACCCTAGATAATTTCAGTAACTAAGCAGCCAAAGAACATTTGCAAAATTAAATGCATAATGCCTGCATAGATCTTTTTATGTAAGACTGAATGGTGATTATTGCAAGATTCATATTTGTAAAACTGTCATCCAGCGTGAAAAAAATAAACCTATTGCCTCTCTGCTAAGTCACTATTAGCAAAAAATTCCGTGGAGYCTTTTGGACCCTCCACCTAACTGAGAGTCGATGGCTGCAGGAGGAGGCAGCAGACAGAGTAACACTGGGAGCAGAACCGCCAGCTCCGCTGCTCAGATCTCCTCTGCTCATGCAGGAAGAAAGGCAGAGCTGCCTGGAACTGTTGTAGGTTGGTAAGTCCCAGAGAAGCAAAACAGCATTTAAAGGAAGTACTGGCTCTCTGTTGGGCAACTACGAATAAACAGTACTGAAGTTTTACACAACTATATTTTTTTTCGAATTACAAGTGTGTGTGTGTGTGTGTGTGTGTATGTCTAACAGGGAATTAAGATCACAGCAATGTGTGCTTAACAGACTTACCAATCAGGCGTGCATTAAATTTACTAAATTCAGTCTTTAACACCACACTAGTCAATTCTCACACAATACTAAACATCACTGTCACATCCACAAAAATGCTCGCCTTTAACAAGCACATTCCAAATTAGCTGTGAGCACCCAACACTATGGAGCTGATGTCACGTGGTTAGCACTGATGTCTATAGACCTTGGTGGTCCTTAGTCTCAGAGGCTGAGAGGAGCAGGACAGAGAGCAACTTGATGAGAGCAGCTGGAACTGAAGAGGCCCATGCTCCTTCTCATCAAACCCTCCTTGCTTATGCTTGATATTTTTATTCTGTTGGAAGTGGGAGAAGAGGCTTCCTCTGCTCCTGATACTACTGATCTTGTCGCTTCTGTCTTGCCTATTCTCCTTCCCTTGTATTTGCAAGGCCAATCTCGTACGTGTGCTTTGTCCGGCAATATTTTGGTTTCGGATGCCGCCTACACACAACTCTACTCTCCTGATCGCACTGCTCACATCCTTTCAGGAAACGTTTCTATATTGTGCCTGACTATGCTATCACAGGGTTATGAAATGATTACATTGTGTTAGCTGCACTATTTTAGTGCATTTAATATAGTTACATCAGCACACTTAATATAATTATATCAGACCTCTGTTTTAGCTATAACTGCTGTGGAGAGATCTACTTGCCTGTGCTGGGAGAAACATCTTGAACCATAGGCAAGCTAAGTGGAATCTGAAAAAGCACATTTTTATTCCTATCAAATACTGTGCTGCAGACTGTATTTGCCATATGTGAAACAGTAAAGAACACATTTCTTTTTTTCTGAGTGGTAATAGATATAACAATATTTTTCCCAGATCTTCTAATGACACTTCTAGAAAAAAAATGCCACAGCACATTCTAAAGTTCATATATAACATGAACAGAATTCCATTTTCAAAAGCTCATTCCTATGAGATGTAAAATGTGTCGAAAAGGTCCAATAACCTCTTTCAAGCTCCTCAATAGTATATTTAATTACCCGCAGTTCCAGGAGATAATGCACATTATATAGGAGGTTCATCTCAGAACTGAACATTACCACACTTGTAGTTATATAACTACATCATAGGTAACTGTAACAAATATAAAAAGTGGAACTCTTTCTAGTTATTAATATAACTAAAGTTAAGGACTGCCCTTGCTATCAACTTTGTTCTACGGTGAAATCCTAGCTTCATTAAGGCATCAAGATTTTGACTTCAGAAGCACTAGGATTTCATCGTTACGAATGTTTATTTTTTTGTATTTAAATTCTTCAGCAATCGCTGAAGTTAGCACACTACTGTGAGTGTACGGAGAGGAGGGCAGAGCACAGTGATTAGGATACCTTGTCCCGTGACACTCTTTCTGTTTTGGCCTTTGGCAAATCATTTGCTTCGGCTCAGCTCCTTATTGTGAGCAAAAAGCAACAGAAAACCTACAAAGACGACTCTGCCCTCAGAACCAAATAAATGGGGTAGGATTTCCTGACTTCATTGCAGTAATGAAGTAACAGTGAAGACTCTACCAAAGTGAAGGATATAAAAACATCCCATCATTAAGGCATATGCTTTAAGAGTGCTCGAGTATTTTACTAAAGGTGATTTTTACTCCTGCTGCAATATAATTTATTAGAGGAAACAGAAAATGTCAGCATTAAATGCACTAAACTTTCAATTCTGCCAGGTCTCAACAGTGGTGCATAAGGTGCAGTTAGGTGCATAAGCAGAATTACCTGTAAGCTGGACTCTTTGCAAGTACAAGGCTAAATACTCTGACAGTTCATGGCAGCATAAGCTTACTGAGAGGGGATTAAAACGCACCCRCACACAACAAAACCCTCCTTTTCCCATCACTGTCCAGCTTCAGCAGCAAGCTATGAGTGGCCTCTACTGGCTGACCAAAGGCTACATAAGTCATTCAGCTTTTGCTCTGCTAAGACTGTTACCATCAAGCATGCAAAGAAATGCTCTAAAAGAACAGGCTCAACAGCAGTAGGTAAATCACGTTCACCATGGCTAAAAATAAAAGGCAAGTATAATGTGAGTCATAGACATACAGAGAGTAGGAAAAAATACCTTTAAAGTAATTTTGGTGCTCCTAAAATGTGTCAGAATATATAGCATAAATATATATATGCACACGCAAGTCTATTTTCTAACTGCCGAGAAGGGAATTTATGCCGATATAGTGTGCCAGCTCTAAGGGCAAATACAAGCATGAATCCCAAGCAGTTTGTATTCCAATCAGTTTATATATAAAGGCCAAATTACTTCAATTATGATATCAACATTTTGATTTAGATTAACACTTGGAAAGTGTGTTCCATCATCTGAATAGGCATGAAAGCASAGAGAGACTGCACAGTTATTCTTTTCAGAAATATGCAACAAATGTGTTTTAACCAGTTATAAAATAAAATACAATATGTTACGAAATATCTATTAAAAATAGCAATGAATATACTAAAATATGACTGYAAGTGGACCTATTCTATTTTTACAAGAACAATCTATAATTAGCTCAAATTACATGAAAACATTACTTCTATTAATGAAATATTAAAATAAAAGATAATTAAGTATAAGTAACAAGTTGCTTTCACAAGACTAACCGTGGCAAGCACAAC